TGGTGAGTGTCCAGAGGATATGGGTGGGACCAGCAGTGTCTACTGAGTATATATAATAAGCAGAACTTTGAAAAACAGTGTTTTCTTGAACATTTAAACATTGATTATAAATTTGACAGATTAAATTCCCTTAAACTATTTAAATTCCACTACAAAGTTAGTCTGGCTAATTCCTTTTGACCACTTCACACATCCACTTTAACCATCAGACAAAACATATACAAGAGGTCATTATGTAACTTATTATATATTTAAACTTTAACCGATTCTAAAATATTAAATATCAGGAGTCTAATTTATTTCTTCATTGTTTCTGCTCTTGTCGTTTGTATCTTCCAAAGGCTATTGTTTTACTTATCTCAGAGTTTTCTTAGACTTAACATCATTTTGGCGCTTTCCAGACAGGTGTAATGATCTTTCAGATCCAAAGGAGACAGAATTCTTTGTCCTGAAGAGCTAAGGTTAGAGGACGTGGGTAGGGTACCCACTGATTCTTGGGTGGCTTCAGGGTGTTTGAAACTTAGGACTCCTTATCATTGTGATATATTGACCTGGACTTTAGCATTATAAAAATGTATGCATTCTTTATTAATATTTCAGCATTCTTAGTTAGACCATGTAAAGATTTCACATCCTAGGAAATAAAACTGAGTTTGGATATTTGGTTTCTCTGTTTAGGCTATGCGACTGGTTATCATGTTACAAACTGCTGACTGTTGTTTCCTTGCTAACTGTGTGTGACCACTAGTGCCTGTCTTTCTACTTGGCTGTTGTATGACACCTTCTGTGGGCCCTGAAGTCCCAGGATGACCTGACTTACAACTCCTTTTGTTATTCTTTCCTACTTAACACATTTTATAAACACACATATAATTAATACTCTGTAAAAGAAACTACATTGCCTTATATATAAAGGCTTCCTAGTTTTAAAAATCCATATAAGTTGTAACATATCTTATTATAATCATCCTTTTTTCCTATTAAAACTATCTTTTTGTATACTTTATATTAACTTTCTTTTTGAACGACATAATGAACACAAGACATTTCTTAGACTCACCTTGTTTCTGTAGTAATTATTTCCTCCTCCTCCTCCTCCTCCTCCTCCCTCCTCCTCCTCCTCCTCCTCCTCCTCCAGTTTTGATGCTCAAATTGTCACAACTCAGCTGGGTAGAGTTCTTCTACCTTAAGTTCTTTGCTCAGGTAGACAACAACAAGGTGTTTAAGTCCTATCCTCATTTCTGTGCTGTCCCAAGATCTGATATTGGCTTGTCTCCAAGGAGCCCTGCCTCATTTTAGTGAAGAACTATATTGAAGACTATCTGGGCATGAGAATAGGTGGTGGGCTGACGTGCTGTGCCTACTGTTAAGCCAATTTTAGTAGTGACAGAATTGGAGAAAATATCTTTTTAAGATTATGAGGTCACACTGACGTTTTCCAAATTTATATCATTATACTGCTTTACAATACAGGGTTCTGTTGGCCACCAAAGATTTCTATTATGTTGACCTGTTCTAATACCAGTAATTTTTATACTAGGACTTTCCATCCCTGCCTTAAACCACAATGATGCTAATGATGGTATTTCAGATCTCTCTGAAAAGTTTTACTGGACAAATCTATATCCTATCTTATTAATGAAGTAGCTACTTTTTTTTTTAAGGGCCCAATTATGACTCTGGAGCCAGACTGTCATGAGTTCAAATCTAAGTTCTGCCATTTACTAGTTATGTGATCTTGAGCAAATTACCTGACTGCTTTGTGTCTTAGTTTGCTCATCTGTAAAAAGGAGTCCTCTCTTTAAAATGGTATCCTCTCCATAGGGTTGTGATGAGGATTCAGTTAGTGTATACCAAGTGATTAGAAAAGTACACGGCTCTCAGGAAATGCCATGTGTTTACTGTTTCTTCAGTTGTCTAGGTGCCAGGGACTTCTTTCACTGTCATTGATATATATTTCTTCTTCTGCCTTCTCCCCGTTTCTTTTAATGGGAAGAAATATGGATTATTTAGGTCCCTAAATTCATCATTTGTACTTTCTTATGCTTAAATTCATTTGATTTTGCAATCCTCCCCGCTCTCAGATTCCTAAAAGTTTGTCTAGCCTGGCCCCATCAGACTGTATTTTCATCAACCTATTCAAAATCTTCTTGACACAAAAATATGCTCATTCTTTTTTCTGTTTTCAAACATTCTTTTATTTACTCACCTTTTGAAGAAGTATCCCATCTCTTATTTTTGATATAGAAAATGTTATTAAAATAAGATGACAAGCATGTATCTTCATAAGATGATGAGCTTTATGAAACTGAACAGATTCCATTTTATTTTTCTTTGCTGAAAATGCTATATGTACAGCTACATTTAAGAGTAAGAGGAAAGGACTCATATACATGGTTTTGTCCATCCTACCCTTAATGTGTATTGTGTGGTCCATATATCTCCATGTGTCTGTCGTGCATTCCTGGTACTATTATTAATTTTCCTGTGTAATACTGGAGCAGCAGTGCCAGGCACCAGGGCTCCAGATACACACTTTATTGGACACACATTCTTGTTTAGTGCATGTGCTGCAGCTCTGCTGCTTGCTCCCCTGGACCTGAACAAGTTTGGAGAGGAGGTGGCTGCCATTCATCTGTGACATAATTTCCAAAAAACACCAAAAGGTGCTATACCTGCTCCTTCCTTCTTGAAAGGCACACAACCTCCAAGCCACCTGGTGGTATGCATTTCACATCTAGACACAAGGTGGTGGTATTTGAAAGCAGGAAAACCCTTAGAACCTGATTCTCAATCCTAGAAGCCATCTTACAGAGCATAGGCCAGGCGGTAGTCTGAGCTACTCTTTGTTGGTC